TGCAAATTTTCGCCATCACTGGGATTTGAACTCTAGACCTGCCACTTGAAGGTTGACAACCTATCCACTTCACTAGGTCACCACACTCCAAATATATTTATTTAATTATTAGTTAATATGTAAAATTTTATATAATTACATTTTAATTTAAATGTATTAAGTTGATATATTATGCTTAATAGAATGACCAATATATAATAATAATAATGAATTATATATGTATTAAATAATACCTTTAGTATTTCCTATGTTTTGCCAATTTTGATTCATATTCCATTGTTTATTTTTATAACAATCACACTATAAACAGAAATAATTTGATGTTGGTTTATTAATTTCTAAAACTAATAATATATATTTCTAATCTGCTGTAAACCAGAATTCAACACACCAATGAATATTATTTTTATCAACAAATTCATTTTGAAATAAATCTATTAGCTCATTAGTAATTTTTTGATAAGCAATTCTTAATGAATCATATTTCTCAATTCCAACATAAAGGCCAATACTATTATGTATAATAATTTTTTCTTGTTTGTGTGTCTGATAGTTAAGTCGTGTTGATGTATAGAATTTAAAAAAAAATTATATATATATATTATTAAATTAATTGCTCACCAATGCTGATTTGTGGGACTAAGCACCTTATTACCTTCATTGAAAATACATGCAGTTAACATTACACGGTTGTTATGTCGACCTACTTCTCATCTATCTTCACTTAATTTTAATTTTAATAATATCATTTTTATTAAAACAGGATTATTACCCGTAGTTAAGTCTGGAATAAGTATAGTTAACAATGCAGTTAATGATCATGTGGCACCGTTTCCAAGTTGTTAATCTTAATTAAAAAATATTTCATCATTGTTCTCAATTATATTAGAATAAATAGCTAAAATTTCAATTTCACTATAAGTAAAGCTTTTAATTGGGATTTGTTTTTCTATTAATTCATTAATTTCTTTGCATCGTGCAGCCACAGTATGTTCACGTTCTAAAAAAGGTAAACTTGCTGCTAAATTTCTATAACTATCCCGTGAAATTAAACCTTTGTCACATGTATAGCATATAGAATCTACAGATTTAGATGATTTTACAAAATCTACTGTGATTTGTTCATTAAAAATTTCAAACCCTAAGTAATTCAAATCATCTGCCTCTGAAAATCCATATTCTTCTAATAATTTTTTAGAACATGAATGAATTTCTAAAGCTAGCTATTTTAAACGGTGAGCTTTTTGTGATTCAGATTTGAGATGCGAATAAGATTTTATTTGAATATTGCTTCTATGTATTTTAAGAACTGTAGATCCAATCCAAATAAAATTACACCTGACAAAGTAGCATTGGTATTTGGATTTAATCTCTAAAATATTAATGATAGAACAATTGAATAATATATCAATAAAGAATTTAGTAGTTTAAATAATAATTATACCTTTATAAATTGTTGTGCAGCATCGCTAGCAGATTTTATACTCATTACTCTATGTTATTTTTTGTTTTTTCTTCTGTTCATTTCACCTCAAATTTTACTTTTCCATCAGGCTGATAATTTGTTTTGCACGTAACAGTTTGCTTATACACTAAGATCCGAACTTGATAATTGCCAGGAATCTGATATCTACTTCTTTTTGTATATCATACATATTTTGGATAATACCCCAATTTCAAAACATTATATTGATAGTTATAATTACGATTACCAATACGATGTATTATATCAATTACTGGAAAATTGTCTTTATGTTCAATTATATTCATAACGAACCAATTTTTAATATTTAAAATTGATAAGAAAAATCAAATCATTCATAATGATTTATAAGCAGTTTCATGACGGTTTCATAAGCAATCCATAACAAAAAAAATTAATCAGCTAATCAAATATAATCGTTCAATTAAATTTTATTATATTTTTACATTTAAATCCCGGCAATCACGCAATATCAATGATTGGATCAAATTTTATGAGTTATTATCATTTATTTTTAATCATCACCAAAATCAAAAAAATCCACCCATACGTTACAGCTATTATCATAATTTCTGAGACACCTGTAAAAATCGGCCGAACGATTTTTCGGCCGATTCGGTTAAGTTTATGATTTCGGGAATAAAATTGTACATGCATTAAATAGAGCAC